GACATACAGACAGAACGACAGGCAGAGCGACAGACAGTTAGACAGAATGACAGACGAAGCGCTTTATAGTAAGGATGGTGCAGCGAAGAACACCTTGATACTTTAGAAAGGACACACGATCAGGCTGCCAGCGGTGCCCAGTTCAAATCGAGATGACAGTCTTTGCAGATTCTTTATACGCGGCTGTGGTAGGGAATTCCTGTATAAAATACAAAAAATATCTTGTTAGCATTGTACATCAAAAAATGACTCTGATGTCCAACATTAGTTTTAATTCGGCATTTTAAACACTACGCCGATCCGTAGCGCTCCGTAGTCCGTATGCTTTCAGTGTATGCAACAAATAATTCATAAAATACTGACAATCTCCTTCTAAGTAGTTCATAGAAATGAAATGGGGAGAACAGCATGCGATCTCTCTCTATAAGACAACATCTTGAAAAAGGTTGGTTCGATTCGATTGTTACACAGTGATTTAGTTGTGTTATCAGATATAAATGTGTCGCATTACGTTGGTTTACGGTCGAATTTTGAACATGGAAACTGATAATGTTTTTTAACATTGGGTATTTGATGATGGAGGATAGAGAATGGGAGACAGGTTTGAAAGGATCCCCAGAAAGGTGAACATGGGCAGCAACAAGCGCGAGTAGTGATGAATAAGAGATTGGATGTACCCTGGAGACTCATACAGGCGACTTTCCTGTACACTAGAGGGGAAGAAAGAAACTCAATGACGCTTCAAAAGTACTCGTTTGCACGTGGTCGTACCTAGAGAGTTGACGTAAATTCCGTCTCGCAATAGATGCAGACTCCCAGTAAGGTCTCCAATCTTCCCTGTCGCGAGTCAGAGTGGTCCAGTGGATCGTCCTCACTCGAAGAACATGGGATAATCCCGTTCGTTCAGAGCTCTCTTGACGAATCTGAACAGCGTTGACGACCGTTCTGGTGTTCATTGAGGTTCTAAGGGATCCATCCAGTAACCACCGTGGTCCAATGGTCATCACAAAACCTTGTAACGTGTCCGGCACACCTGATCTTCGATTTCTTGTTATAAGCAACGGCACTTCTGGCTTCCGTTCCCTGACGGAGCTCGGAACTCTAGATTCCCTTACTCGCGCATGTAGTGGGTTTCCGATCATCGTACTTTCCACGGCGCGTTGAGTTACGCTGACTGCAGGTCGAAAAGGTGAGCGCAGAGCCGGATGCTATTCGTCTTCTTCTCTACTCCCTCGAAGTTCCTGGATGGTCCCCACGCCGCACGTTTCCTCCTGCTCAGTCCGGAGCTTGATCGTTCATCATGTTGACTTATCGGCCTAGATACGCGTAGCTAAAGCATTCAGAAATGTTCGTTCCATTCAGCGTTAAACGAGATCAGGTACCAATCCGTTTGTCAAGAACATCGTCTTCAATAAGTTCAGTCGTAGTCCAATCCGTCTACAAGCGCTGTCGGATTAGGCCACCATTTTCCGCTTGCTCGAGTTCGGTGTTATAAGCACGATTCCATCTGCAAAGCAGAGATGATGTAAATAGCGGGCGTCGACCTTCACTCTCATGTCTTCCTATACCATGATCATCTCGAAAGCGGCACTGAAAATTTGGGCGAGATGGTATCGTCAAGCCGAACCCGTCTCCTCATGTTGACAATGACATCCTATTGAAAATGGCGGAATTCTAGTCGTGAAGTTGTCGTAGAGCAGAGTATTACTGCTGATGATTGTGGTGCCTGGGGCTTCATTTACCTCTCTTTTCTCTGAAGGGCTTCGTCAAACCGATGAACGTCAAACATAGCGGCACCCTGTACTCTCCTGACACTTCAATGAGTCCTGTAGCAGCAGGGGATGTAATCGATTGTATTGTAACTCCTTTGAAACCCTGCTTGCTCGCATGGCTGTCCTTTAACTAATATGCTGATCCTGTTGAGGATGAGGATGAGGATGTGAATAGTTTGTGAATTACAGCCAACAGAAGGTTGAGCGATTGTTGGCAATATCGTCTGGATCTTCCTTCTTGATCAGCAACACCGTCCTACTACTTTTTCACGTCGTGGGCATTTTGCATCCCGACAGGTATCGCGTGAAAAGCCTAGCCAGGGTTCTGAAGATAACTGGTGGAAGGCTCTTTAGATGTTTCGGTTTGGTCCTATCGGAACCGTGCATAGTACAGCTTCCTCATCGACGTGATGACATGGCAGGCCGAATTTCGGAAGGGGAACTGAGGGAACGACATATCCGTCTTGTCTAATGGTGAGATGGAAGTAGGCGAGTAGATGTGGCTGTCGAAGGGAACCGAATAGAATCTGTAGACGACCTTCTCCGTAGCTCTTCGAAGTGCAGTAGCTCTTGCATCAGGGCGATGAAGAGAAGTCAACTTGGTTCCATGATTGGCGAAGCTCCGTCGAGCTCTGCGAATGCTCTTCCAGCCCTCGACGGCCTCGTCCATAACCGATGCTCATCTCTCTTTCAGATCTTCTTTCATGGCATCTCTGCTCGGCTTCGCAAATCCGAACGTTTCTTGATGATTGCCTGCTATTCCACGGTGGCATATGAGACGTCCTGTGGCTACTTTAGACTCTCGGCTCTTCCAGCACTATCATGAAGATGTTCGACGAGCCGGTTGTTTTTTCCATCGATGTGAAGTGGTCCTAGATGAACTTCACGGCTCTCTCCACGCAATGAGTAACAGAGTCCGGCCCGGAGGCGATCGTCCGGTTCTATGTAAAACTTCGGAACAAAAACGACGACGGTCAGCCAAAACTTTTGATTGAAAATGGTTTGCTCTATTCCTTTTTTCTTTATTTAACTGTTAACAAGTCCACCGTGGATGAAAGGGCTCTCGAAACGGCGAATCGCTGGATGGCGTGGATCGACATTATAAACTACAATCTTTCTCCCTGTTGATCCCATCCCGTTTCGTCGATCTTGAAGTGGAGCTCTTCGGGGGCCAATCTTTGCATTGAAATCACCGACGATGAATTAGGAGAAAGTATAATCTTCTCTGTATTGCCTTTCCAACTCCATATAAAACGCTTCAAGCTCCTCTTCTGCGTAGCTATATGTTAATGCGTAACGACAATCGTTAGAGCAGGTGTTGAACCACATCTCGTAATCGCAAAGGTCCGATTCGGCTTGTCAAGCTTTCTTACGAATTGATGTTCATGGCCAAGTGCGTATTGACGAGGACACATACACCGCCTCTGCTATGTTCTAAGGAACAGTTCTTCTCNAGTCTCAAATACAGCGTGCAGCGAGCGATACCTTCTCGTCTCAGTCGATACGATGGCGTCGTAGTATTGATCTTCCTAATTTGCACCATCAGATCCTCAATACATGCTTTCGATGCAAGCGTTCGTGCAATGAAAGTACAGATCGCCATCTTGGTCTTTCTTTTGGGCAGCCTGTTTGGCCCTGGGAATTTTATCAGCCTCTCCCGAGCTCTTCTACCCAAAACTGCCGCATTGGGAGCTCCCTCATTTTCGGAGAAATGAAGCTCATATATATTACTGTTTTCGGCTCGTGGATACACACGGGTAACTAGCCAGGCTATCCCAGAGTAGAAAGGGTCTTTGGTTTTGGAGTGGACCTCGAATCACATTGTGGATACTCCCAAGTCTGCCAGCTCCGGCTGAGCCTATTTGCAGGATCCCTACGATACCTACCGCACCCGCATCCTCTCTACGCACATATGCTTGTATTCACCTCGCGATAGAGAAGGTGTATAGACCTTTCGCATTCGAAACACAGAATCCATCCCTGAATCCAACTGTTTTATGGGCAAGCACCTGTGGCTTTTCGTCCGCGACTTACTCCCTTCTCCGCCTCCTGAAGTCGCGCCAGATAACGGCTAGAAATTCTTCAGTGAGAGAGATCTCTCAGCGACTAGCAAAATAGGGATAACAAGCGATTTGTGGGGGCTCCAGAAAGTTTAGTTCTTTTTACTACTCTTTGTGGGACACATGGTCATGCAGTATCATTGACGAAATGAACATTACTTGATGTGCGTTTGTAAGATGAATCTCGACTAAAAACTGAACATTTACTTTGTTAATAATAATTTTAAGGTAATAAACATGATGATAGTGTCCTGATAAAATGATAATGACAAATGTGATATCCGCTCATTTGAACTGTATTCCGTATGCTTTCAGTGTGTGCAAGAAGTAGTCCATGAAATACTGGAAATCTGCTTTTGCATAGTTCATGGAAATGAAATGTGGAGAGCAGCACGAGAAGCTTGTCTGAAATGTTGAGATCAGATCGAGAAGGTTAGTCGAATAGTCGACACTTCCGTCATGATTCATAGTTGTCTGCTTCTCTTGATATGTGTTCCCAGAAGGGCTATGATTGGTGGGTTGTCCACTTGCCACTTCTCCATGTTTTGTGCCTTCCCTGGCCTTGGTAGTTCTCAACAGCTCGCTTTTTCGTTACTAATCTGACTCGAATAGATCTAAACCGACAGCAAGCTATTAAATTCCTCACAGTGATGCCAGAGTCGGTCCTCCTGAATTCGCTGGTCGCTCATGAAAAACTTCCTGCGAACGACTGCGGGAGAAAACCATCAAGGTAAATACCGATCTGATCCCCCGAAATACGTGTCTGAGGGAAATGACCAGGGAAGGGTGGGACCGAAGTTCCATGAGAAGTAGTAACATTCCGCTTGTATGGAATGGGAGAGATAGTGGTGGAATTACTCAAAGAACAGGAAAGATAATCATAGCTCATAGCTTTCTTCTGAACATGTCCTAAATCTGGATATGGTATTCGAGCAGGCAAAAATTTTCAGGAATATGTTCATAACTAATAAATACAACAGAGCTTTCCTTACCTTCAATTTAGTTTTGGAATTGGCATTTAGCCACTTTGGTGCTCCATTCTCTATTAGATCCCAAATACCAATTGGCATAAACCTAAAAAAGGAAAGTGTGGTTGGTAACCGGTGAAGTAGAGGTTCGTGTAGCGCTAAAAATTGGACACGAAGACAGAATAACCATCAATGTAAACGTCCTAGACCGGCATTATTATTTTTGATAAGGCATCTATTGTTGTAACTCCTGAATAGCATTGCCTAGCATTTGACTTTCACTTTGGCAAGTCACCCCTCTAAACGGAGTATAATGTTATTCCCATGTCTTTCCTTCGCAATCATGATCACTAGTAGATACGGCATCTGTCCTTCGAAATGGGAAGATAAGTTTCCTTGATTTTGTTTGTGAAGTCGTTTCAGAAGCTTGACGTCCGGGAACAGAATAATGGAGGACGTGTTTTCTCGATGTTGTAGTGCCTAGCACCATGAAGGTGCAATATGGCAACGTGAGCCTCTGCGCAATTCAGTTTCTGGGTTTCGTGCTTAATTTATCTCAAAAAACGCTCGGTGCTCTCGACCCTTTAGCCCTCAGAGAATATTCCTCTGAGACTATATCGTCCATTGACGTGAATAGTACAAAACGAAAGGCGACAATGCCGGAACTTCCCTCCCACAAACCTTTGATTCTCGACACTTTTCAAGTGTGTGGCTAGCAAAGCGGGCATTTGGCCAACGCCTCTCCATAACCATGTCATTGCGAATCGATTTAAAAAATTGATGCTGGGTCATTGCCACGCATATTATGGAATCGTATAGTCGAGATTTCACCATAGCAGATGCGGATGACCACGTGGGTAATGAAGGAGGATTCCCAGATAGGTACGGATTACAGTGGAAGGCCTAGGAGTGCGAATATTGAAGGCTCTAGAGAGCAGCAGCGGTGTCATCCCGAAAGCACCATTGCTCAAAGAAAATAAATAGAAATATTGAATAAAGGCAAGAAGCAGGCGCATATCGTAGAATTTTAGTCTACTAGCGGTCAGTCGATTCATCAGCATTTTCGAGGAAGCTCCTGGTCCGATCAAGAACATGTTCTACTGGTTAAGGCAGCTGCGTGCACCCACGTCTTGAAAAAAGTGAAATGCTTCACGAGTGGGCTTGACAAGAACCAACTCTGAGTTCGTTCCTCTCCCTAGTAATACTGAATAACATCGCAAAAGATCTCGTGAATATACCGCTGGAGAGCATTTTCGAAGACGTCGTTTTGATGGCGGATAGAAGCTATAGAAAGGGTTGCCGAAGCGTGCTCGTTGAGAATGGCCTCTTTCTGAATATGGCAAAGTTCCTCAGGTCCGAGGGGCGAACAGTGTACTTATGGGCTGCTGAAGGAACGCGAACGAAAGAGTGCAAGAACACCGACTCCTCGAAATGATCAGACCGCAGACGGTAACGTGGATTAGGCCGTAATGTCTTGCATAAACGCGAAGTCGATGAATAAGTACAAGTGTTATAAACATTGGTGGCGGAATCGTTCAACTGCAACGCGTTCCTTAGCCTTCTCACTTTACAACTTTTTGTAAGTTTTTTCGAACACGCGAGTTAATTTCAACCAACTATCTGACCTATAACCACCGTTTTCGTCGGAACCATCGATTATGGATGCATTCAGTGCCATTAAGCACTGTCCCAAATAAAGATCCTCAGCAGGTATCTTTTGATCGCAAGCGGGATGATAATTGAAACCAAGTGCTCCTAATCTGAAATTCACGACTTGATTTTTTTCTTCTGGTTTGGGGATATCAATTTTTAACCTCAGCACAGCTTCATGGCTTAGTACGTAACCGGCTCCGCCGCTATGATATCTGAAGTTATGAAGATTGTATTCATGGCCAAATGCTAATGACTCGTTTGGTGAGTAGCTCTGAAAGCAATCTGTGAGGGAGTGGTCTCTTCGTTCTACAGTAGGAGCCACACTTTAAAAGGGGAATATTTAAAAGTTACCTTAAGAAAATGCCTCAAGTTGGGCATATGAAAATAAGTGTCATCATCTGCTTTGAGGAACCAATGGTAATCGTGCTGAAAACAAGACTGAATGAAACAGATCCCCTCCTCCAATAAAGTCTTAAAATTCTTGGGACTCGTTTCAATCCCGTCAGAGGGATGCGCCCACGCATTCGACTTCCAATCGGAATCGTATTGACGTACTGAATGCGTGTGTTGCCTTTACAATTACTTGCGGTGGCCAGCCGGTGTACAAGTCAGTGCTTTTATCTTTCCAGACGAGTCTGGTATCGATTAACCGACTGCGGAGAGATGGAATGTATGGTTGTCCTAGGCGGATACCAATTCAGGTTTTGAACCCGTGTTCATGCGTGTGTGAAGTGTTCCACCGGCCGGTAATGTAGTGACAGTAGCGCACTATCCCACGCATGGTCCAAAGATCGAATCCCGGTTCGATACTCGTTTAGGTCAATCGAGCCTTTCATTCCTCCGGGATCTGCTATTACAGGGCTCGTCTGTTAGGATAAAAGCGTCGACTCGTACAACGGTAGGCCGCTGAAAGCCGTTGTATAGGCCAGACACGCATTCAAGACGTTACGGAAGTCTAACGCGTTGGGCATTCCTTAAATAGTTTTGATTGAAGTCAGTAAAGCTGGGTCGATTGCGTGGCATCTTTTGGAAGGACTGACTAAAACATTGAGACCTTGTGCCCACGGCTCTTAACATTCCAAGAAACTCACCACGACGTTTTTATAAATCCATAGAAACGCTTCTCGTGTCTTCAGATACAGATTCTCAAAGTTATCAGTCTGATTGAAAAGAAGGATTGGCAGCTTGTCATCGGTAGCATTGGACACAAACAAAATGTCGTTGCAATAGCGTCCCCAGGTTGCCTGAACTGGCAAGTATGAAGTCATAACTCTGTTGAGTATTCATTCCTACACATTTCTATAGATGAACTAGCTTAATGTTGAATGCATGCGAAAACGGAAAGTCCAGTTAGGTTGCATCCATAACGAC